ATAGGAAAAGAGTGAATAAATCCAAAAAAAAGTGGGAGAGAATCTAGGTACGGGGGTTGGTTATGCAAATGGAAGGTATTAGCATCCTAAATATCTACGGTACTCCGCGGGAACCTCTTTGAAAATCTGTGTATTTTGGCTATAAAAGGTGTATACAAAAATAGATGGTGGAGATGAGAAAAGAAGTATTGTTTAGAATTTTTCACCTTACGCGGTTTCAAACCTTTAGTGCTTACATACTACCTTTCATGCAATAGGAGATCAGGGTACTCGTAGTTTACCTTAAAAATTTTAAAACACATGTGTGTTGGTTAATTTTAACAGAAGAGACAACATCGTCATATTCGAGTGAAAAGCATACTTACTACCCACAATTATGAGAAAGGAGAATTATCATCATCTCAAAGTGAAGGATATAGCTTAGATTTTAAAATTAGCAAAGCCTCACTCAACACCCAAGTGGAAAATATCTCACTTAACTACATATCGTAGAAGTATAATAGCTCGCATCACTAAAAGAATCGACAATAGTCTAATCTTTAGAGAAAAGATTAAAAGTAAAAAAGTCAATGTGGAAAAATGGTTTAAATGAGATTAATGGCTTTTAGTATTATAAAAATATGTCAAAGTATGATTAAATTGATTAAAATTTGATTTAAGAAAATATTTTTGAAAATGCATGGACCTAAGTCCAAGTTTATTATGAAAGTGGTTCAAGTTAGAAAACAAGAAGAGTTTTGAAAAGGAGGGAGAAGATTTTTGAAATTAAAGAAGATAGGAGGTGATGAAGGGATTATCCTAACCAACGAGAATCCAACACTTGACATAAGAAGTCAGTGTAGAATTCGCATTCTTTGGATTAAAACTAAGCAAGCAAAAATACTAAACCTCTAAGGAACACCAAGCTCCAGATGAATTAAGTCTTCACAAAAATTGGGCAGAGTAACGACTGTATACAGAGGAATTCTCAATCACATACAAAGCATAAAATCAGAATAACCTGCACACAAAGAAAATTAACCTAATGCCTTGGAATAAACCCCAAGAACTTCAGACAAAATAACAATAGAGCAACAAGGTTCCTAAGTATCAAGGATTCTAATCCTATGTCCGAGAGATCCACAACTCCATAATGCCAAGGATAGTAACCAAGTAGTCCATAAAGAAATAAGTCTTTTAAGGTTCAATTTTATTATTAAGTGTATTTGAAAGAAAAGATAGCTCAAATGAGCAAAGATAAAATGACATAAAGATAAATGCTCAAGTGATCAAAAAGAAAATAACATGAGATCTAAATGCTAAAAAAAATGGTACATAAAAGTAAAGGCACAAATTAAAGGCATGAAGTAAATTTAATTGTTAGTGAATTAGAAGTTAGTGGTCAAATATAACAAAAAGATTAGTTGAATGACCATATTAAAGCTTTATTTTTAAAACTCATTAGAAGATTGATAAAATCAAAACTTCTCAACAACAAGTTTCATTTGCTTTTTGTTAAGTATATCATTAATTTCAAGTGCTCAAAGCAACCCCGTATGATCAACGATGTTCAAATGATTCACTTAGACCAAAATTCATGAAGTTTATTAAAGGATTTATAGAATCAAAGCCTCCTAACAATGAACTTCAAATTTATTAGATCCAAGGTTTCAAATTAAACATATTTGGGCTTGTAAATATAGGTTTGGGCCACGAATGATCATTTTTTAAATTGGGACAAATTTAGCGCTATGTTAAGCAATCGTAAGTGGATTTATGTAGAAGCCACGCCTATTTTGAGGCCGGTCAATAGCAATCTATGTACCAAACATGTTAGAGAAGTGACATATAGAAAATTCTCCAAAAACATGTAGAACAAGTAAAAACAAGAAAGTGATAAGATGAAGAGGGAGAGGAATGTATCAAATGAAACTAAGGTTTCAAATATCATCAACATCATTCATCAATTTTGGTGGATTTGGTTTTTCAACCTATCAACATTCAAGATCCAATGAGGTTGAGGAACTTGTCCTAAAATAACACTCAAGTGTCTCCGAATCAGGGCCAATCAAAAAATAATAAAGTATATTTAATATAAAACAAAATTTAAATGATTTAAAAAGGAAATAATTGGTAAAATACACAACTTGTATTAAAACACCAAATAAAAATCCTAAAAAAAATATTAGAAGTCAAACATGAGTCAAAAAATGTTGACAAAATTTTTTAGAATTTTTTAAAGTTAGAAACTATTTTCTAAAATATAAAGAAATAAGCAAAATAACCTAAAATTTGTATAAAAAATAGTAAAATCAAAAATAAAAACAAAATGAAGTCACCAATATTTGTGAAGAGGTCATTGGAACCTTCCATAATTTTTCCAAAATTTAAAATGACCAAAAAGTATTTTTAAACAATTAAAGCAAGTCAAATAAAGTGAAAACTAATTAAAAAAAATACAAAATCACAAAATAAAATTGTGAAAAAATAAAAATCAGAAAGAGAAAAATCAAAATTATTTTTGATAATTTTTTTCATAATTTTAGAAGATGAAATGAATTTTTTAATGAATTTTTGAAGTTTAAAATAATTATATAGAATAATCAGAAAATAAAAATAAAGCTAAAAAAATTTAGGCCATTGGATCAATGTCAAAATGCGTTAGTAAGCTAATCCAAATGATCAGACGCGTTGTGTATGATATGGACATTAGTGAATAAACCACCAAATCATTTATTTTTTAAACAGATATGAAAAAACAAGTGGCGTCTTGTCATTGGTTGAGAGATGCCACACTGGTCATCTTCAACCTCCAGCCACTCGTGAGTTACAGGTTTCTCAAATAGAAAAGTTAGAGATCCAGACCGGTACCATTCGATTCGTCTCATCAAGACGAAGACAATTGTACCCTCGCGAAAAATTTATATAAGTTGAGCTCAGTCGATTTGAAAAAAACCAGATGAAAAGAGATTTGAAAAATCATGAGAGAAACTCACTTTTAGTTAAAAACCAATGATTTTATGAGTATCAGAATGATGAGAGCTACATTGTAGTAACAAGTTTGAAGAGAATTGATAGAGAAATCTACCCGAACAAAGTTCAACAAATTGGCTCTGCAACTTGACTTGGCTAACACGATTAAGAGCACTTCAAGGCTTGGTTCTTCTTATATTAGCTTCAGTGAAGTTCAAGAAGAAGAATGAACAAAGAAATTGGATTGAAAAATAAGGAAATAGTGAATTCGAAAACTCAGAATTATGAGATATGGAGAGAGTTTGGCAGGGTGATTTTGGTTGTTCAAGCTTGAGGAAATGAATGGAATAACATCCTCTATTTATAGGGAAGTGAATGATGATGAGAAACGAGAGAAATTATGAGAAAATTGTGCAAGCCAATCCAGCTGTGATCATGCCAAACGTGTGACTTGAAATACATCAAAACGACTTCATACCAAATGTGATTCTTATCAAAACACATCTGGACAATTAGTTAAACATGTTTATCAAATAAAGTTTGAGTAATTCGACCTGCAATCTAAGTTTAGTCATGGTAAAAATTATGACTCGAAGCAAAAAAAAAATTACATGGAGCCAACTTCAACAACACATAGCTCACTACTCTGGGACCTTTATGATGCAATCTTGGATTCTTTAGAAAGCTGGATGATCAATCTTGACAATGTGCTTTGAAAGTTTTCATTTGGATGTTTGAGCAAAAATTTATTCAACTTTGAAATCAAGAAAAACACATGGATTTTTGTACTTAGAAATATTTCTAAGCGTTGAGCTTCAAAATGACTTATAATGTTCTTCAAAATTACATGTCCTTCCATTCACAATTAGCTCTTGATCCTTGAAGATGAAATAAAGTAAACCTCTAGAATTGAATTGTGGAATTGAGATCACTCAAAAATCATAAAAATTGACAGAGTTATAATCTTTGGAAGATGATGAACAAATTTGGGGAAATTCACAAAAGACCTGTAATCTTTTCAATTCTTGGAAGTCAACAAACCCTCGCTCAGAGAGTGTCAAATTGACTTGGAACCCCTTTTAACTTTTGATGATTTTTCTTACACAATTCGATCTTGTCATGTGAAGAGAAGTTGTTCTTTATGACGATAATACCCCATAGCAAAAAGAACTAACTCAAAATATTGAAAATTGAGAGAGTTATGCACTTGTAATCACTGAATCAAGCACTTCCTCAATTAGGTCAAACTTGTTGAATAAACTTTGAATCTTTTGAACTTTCTTGGAAAAATAAAACCTGAAGGATCACATTAGCCAATAAAATGTTGTCATCTTGAAGCACAGTCAAAGGTGGAGCTTAAGTCTCGATGAAACTTGTTGAAGAAGGCATGGGAATAAACACGTGAACCTATGAATCTTCTTGATGAATATAACCACCAACCTTGAGGAAAACTTGACCTAAATAAAGTGAGAGAGCTCTTTGATCCAAAAATATTGATATCATAGACATATCCTTGAAGATTAAGCTATTGTAATCCATTGAAAAACCATTTTACTGAGAACCATCCCTCAAAAGCCTAGGTTAGACAGTGAGATAGATGCAGTTGTGTCATGACCTATAATATGAACATCTAGAGAAACATATATACATATTTTGATGTTGGTTAAAAGTTAATCCAACTAAAAAACACATGTATAAGATACACAAATCAAGGTGCTTGGTGAACCCTCAAGAGAAAACTTAAATATAGGATGAAGTAGAAGGGAGAACCAGCCCTAATATGTAATCTTGATGTATTAATAATATGAGATGATGAGAGATCATAGGGGGAAAATTGGGGTATAACACATAAATTGTATACATTATTATTATCAAAACTCAAGGATTAAATGCATAACCAAAATTATTCCAACACATGGTATTTGAATGAAAGGTATTATGTTTAGAGTAAATGTTGATGGTAAGTTCGAAGTTGTTTCTTCTCCCTCTAAGCTCGTATATTCAAATAGTAGTCTGTGTAGAAGACCACCAATCGAATCCCCTTTTCCATGTGTGACCTATCTAGTAATGTCTCCAAACCCTTTGGAGATGGTGAAGTTGAGAAGGAACATGAAGTGTCTCACGACCCTTCATCATATACAGACAATATTGAGATTTATATTTCTCCAGTCAAAGGCCTTCACGAGATTGTTCAAGGTAATCCTACTAAAACTCTTATTGTTGGTGAGATTGTTGTTGCTAATGATAATTAGTATTTTGTAGATCAAAATTAGGGTAGAAACGGTGTTGTTGAAAGTATGGTTGATGTTCTAGAAGATGTCGAGACACTGCATCTGACTTTAACACACAACAGCTAGATGTATGAACAAAATAAACAGTGCTGAAGATAAATAACACACATATATGTTTACCCAGTTCAATGAAAACAACACCTACTATGGGGGCTACCAAACCATGGACAAAGTTAACTAGATAGTATCAATTTGTAGACCTCACAACAAACATCTCAATTTAGATCCTGCACACTTAATCACTACCCTTTTCTTAAATTCTACCTAAGACATACCTTAGTATGAGGCCCTCCTCAAATCCTTCTTCAATCATACTCAGTGATTGGAGAAACTCTAAATACAAGTAGAGAACAAAACCGAAAGTCACGCTTCCAAGACACATAAAACTCAATGCTTAAAAGCTTATGAGAATTGAAACGCAAACACTCAATGCTTAAAAGCGTATGAGAATCTAACACATAACTTACAACCCTAAAACAATCCTACTCTTATATCAAGATGATATTAGAGAGGCTCACAAATAAGGATTCTAAAACCCTAACAAAACACAAACGTAAGTGTAATACGGTAGGAGAACTAACTTGGAAGTTTTGCATTTTATCGTAATTGTTGCGGATAGCAAGAGTCGCCACCGACTTTTCTTTTATCCAATAAGGAAAGGGTGAAAAGAACAGGAAAGACCTTTGAGATTATTTTCTTGAGTTCAGAGGGTAGGCTATGAAAAGGGAAGGTGTTAGAACCCTTTTCATTCGTAGTTATCTAAGGGCTCTTAGTTGCTTGCTAGATCACTTGCTTTTGTTTGAAAATGTGCTTTGTGGTGTGGGTTTGAAAATATTTTCAAAATGTCTTTGTAATGATTCTCGTCTCTATAAGAATGCATACAAAGTGTTGGTTTTGAAAATATTTCAAAGAGATGTTTGTTGTGTAAGATGTTTTTTTGAAAGTGATTTTGAAAAGTGCCTTTGTAATGATTCTCGTCTCTATAAGAATGCGTACAAAGTGTTTTAACTTTTGAAAATGTTTCAAGTGAAAGTGTTGGTGTGAAAATGTTTTTGAGTTGTGAGCAAGCAAGTAACTACGAATGTCCTACCTACTCAAAAGGTCTAATATTCTTTTCCTCCTCCTTTTGATGTTACTATCTTACCATTAATTTGGTAAGAAACCCCATCGTTGGATGTGAAGGGACGGGCATGGGTCGTTTGTATAGTCATAGAAGGCAACCTATGGGACATTTTAGCAATGTCGTATAGGGATTAGATCGTTTACCGAAGGCAACATCGAGGGTCATCGAGGGACTACGATCTTTTATCGAGGGTCTTTAATAAAACACCCATATTCGAGGGACATGACTATTTTCCAAGGCAAAAAGTGAGATTACCCTAGAGGTGCATGTGTGCAAAGTGTGTTTGATTGCATGCATTTTTGTATTTGATTTTGGGTTATCTACTTGTTGGTTTTATCTTTCCATACATCTTAATTGCTAAAATTTGTATAAAGCAATAAAAATGCAAAAAATAAATATCCTACACTATTACAACCATATTGAATAGCAAAAAAAAAATAAAAGAAGGGAAAATAAGTTTTTTTCGATCTAGGAAAAATACCCTTTTGATTCTTCTCTTCTTGGCTTCTTTCGATTTGGGCCTAGCAGTCAACGTGGGTGTATCCTTCGATCACGTCCTTTCCTGCTTCCTTCGATTGGCCTGGAAGTCAGTGTGAACAGGCACTCTTCGATTTACCCTTCTTCTGCTTCTTTCGACTAGACCTGCAAAGAAGCATAAGTATGTATCATTTGATCACGCCTTTTTTATGCTTCCTTTCGTTTGAGGTTAGATAGCAGCATAGGGCGAAACCTAAAGCTTCGATTCACACATCCTTCTTCCTGTCTTCTTTCATTTGGGTTTAAACAGCAGCATGGGTTGAGACCATGCTAACATTGTTTCATGACCAGGTTAGTTCTTAAAACATGTTTGATAAACAAAGAAAACAAGCCATAATACTAGCAACGAAAACAAACAGAGAAGGTGGAAACGAAAACAAACCAAAGGGTAATGATGATGTATGAAACGAAAGGAAATGGTTATGTACATGTTATGCTTGAAACGGAAAGCTTAAGGTTAAGAGGACTTACCTTACTTGAAGTTGGAATGTAGGTGTTGGACCTTGAGTTGCTGCCCTGGGCGTTCCTGGATTCGAAGGGAAGAAGCAGGTGTTGTATTTCTTTGGATGGATTTGAAAGCAAGAGCAAAACATTGGGTTGGTGTTTCCATGGGTTCTGGATTCGATGGGAAGAAACAAGTGTGGTGTTTCTTTGGATTCTAGGTTTGAGAGTAAGTTAAGTGTTTGAGAGTTTTGAGAGTACAAGTGTTTTTTTGAAGATTCTTTCCACCCCCCAAAAGTCCTCTTCAGCTTGCAAATTGTTTATCTATTTATAGAGAAGGTTAGAGATGATGGAGTAACTAGGTTTGTAGGATCACAAACCATGGTTTGGTTGAAACGAAAACAAGTTTGATCCCTTTAGTTATTCCCAAGTTTCAAGTACCAGTGCGGCCCTGCTATTTTTTGGGAGGAGAAGATTGGACTTATGCTTTTGGCACTGCTTGCATTCAGAAAAAAATCTGATTGGGAGCTAATTTTGTGATTAAAGTACTCTTTATGAAAAAAGGGTACGTAGTTTTTTGCTATTTTATCCAAGAATAGTATTATCCAGTAGACAAAGCGTTGAACCTTTATGTAATGCCTCACCAATTTGTGTAAGCCTCTGATTATGTAAAGACTTGGAAGCAACATAGCCTGACAAGTGAGATTTGGAGGATAAGGCTATGAGATTTTCTCAATGTTCTTTAAACAAGCTTGCTTCGAAGGGTTCTGATTGGATTCGAAATATGCTGCTTAGAAGGGAACCAAAACTCCAATCGAAGCTTTGTGTGAAAGTGGCTCTTGTCCAATCGAAGGCTTGCCTGCTAAAGCGGTAAAAATGTTTAAGACTAAGCCATTAGATTTACTAGACTTGTACAAATCAAAATAAAATCGCCACTGTGCTTTATTATTTCCAAAGGAATGGGAAAAGAGCAAATAACCCAAAAGAGGGAGGAAAGATTCAAGGTAAGGGGGTTGGTTATGCAAAAGGAAGGTATTGGCACCCTAAACATCTACGGTACTCTGCAAGAACCTCTTTGTAAAGTCTGTATATTTTGGCTATAAAGATGTTGTATGTAAAATAGATGGTGGAGGTGAGAAAAAAATATATTTTTTTTATGATTTTTACACCTGTCGCGGTTGCAAACCTTTAGTGCCTACGTACCACCTTCCGTGCAATAGGGGATCAGGGTACACGTAGTTCATCTTTTAAAAAAAAATTTAAAACACAAGTGTGTTGGTTAATTTTATGAGATAAGACATCATTGTCATTGTCCGTGTGGAAAACACACTTACTACCCACAATTATGAGAAAGGAGAATTTGCATCATCTCAAAGTGGGGGATATGGCTTGGATTTTAAAATCAACAATTCCTCACTAAACACCCAAGTGGAAAATATCTCTCTTTACTATATATTGTATAAGTATAGTTGTTTGCATCACTACAAGGATTGACAAGAGTCCAATCTTTTTGAGAAAAGTTTAAAGATAAAAGCCAAAGTGGAAAATGGTTTGAAATGAGATTTATTGACTTTTAGTCTTCTCACAAAAAAATGTCAAAGTATATTGAAGTTTATTTATGAAAATGTTTTGAAAATGAATGTACCTAAGTCCAAGTTTATTATGAAAGTGGTTTAAGTTTTAAACAAGAAGAGTTTTCAAAAGGAGGGAGAAGATTTTTGAAATTAAAGAAGATGGGAGGAGAAGAAGGGACTATCCTAAAGCATAAGGTAAAAGCTAGGGATAGGAACCATCTAACCAACAAGAAGCCAATACTTGATACTTTGGGCCAAGATAGAATTCTCATTCTTTGGATTGAAACCAAACAAACAATGATACTAGACCTCTTGAAAGAACCAAGCTTCAAGTCTATTAAGTCTTCACAAAAATTGGATAGAGTAACAGTTGTATACGAGTGAATTCCAGATTACAAACAAAGGGTGTAATCACAGTAACCTGCAAATAAAACAAACAAACAACCCAGTGCCTTGAGGTAAACCTCAAGAGCTCCAGACAAAATAATCAGATAAGATCACAAGGTCTCCAATCATAGGCCAAGGTTTCTAATCCAAAGTCCAAAAAGTCCAATGTTCCATAATTCCAAGGATAGTAACCAAATAGTCCAAGTATCATTAAATATTTTTAGGGTTTATGTTGATTATTAGGTGTTTTGAAGAGAAAAAAAAGAAAAGTAAAGCTCAAGTGAGCAAAAAATAAAATGACAAGAAAGTAAATACTCAAATGAGCAAAGATTAAAATGATATGAAATGTAAATGCTAAAAGTAAATAGTGCATAAAAATAAAGGGGCATATAATAAAAATAAAGGATAAAGTCATTTATTAGTTATTAGTGGTTAGTTGGATGATCATCTCGAAACTTGCATTTGGAACTCATTAGAGGATTGGTAGAACCAAAGCCTCCACACAACAGGTTGCATTTGCTTTTTTGTCAAATATATCATCCATTTGGAATCCTCATGAGTACCATTTAATGATCAACGATGTTTAAGTGATCCGCGTTGACCAAAGGTGTTGTAGATCCATTAGAGGATTGGTAGAACCAAAGCCTCCACACAATGGATCTTAAGGTTATTATATCAAAGAGATCAAATTAACATACTTGGGCTTGCAAACATAAGTTTGGGCCACGAATGATCATTTATTCGAATCGGGACAAAATTTAGCGCTATGTTAAGCAATCATAAGTGGACTGATATAGAAGTCGCACCTATTTTGAGGTCGGTCAATAGCAATCTATGCACCATTTGTTTTGAGATATGATATAGAGATCATGCTCCAATAACACTAAGTGCAATAAGAA